GGAAATGACAGATGGGCTGTCAGTGAGAGGGCAGCATGGAACAGATCGTTAAGAGTTGAAGAAGGAGTTGAGAGATTACGTGAAATTGGGTGGTTAGCCAACTGAAGAGGACAGCAGTACAGAACAGAGCAAAGTGGAGATGTTTGGTTGAAGCCAGCTATATGTTCCACTCGGAAAGCAAGGGAACAATAATAATAATAATACTTTCTTCACTTATTTACGAGGCACGATTCAACTATAGGCAGTCGGCGTGGATGAAGATGTCGAAACCAGCGAGGACCAGAAAGACGAGACGGACTTCCATTAATCACTCTGAAATCAGTTCGGAAATTTTCTAAGCTACTCAGCATAAAAAAACGAAATTTGGACCTTCCAATACACCAATGTCAAGTCAGTGGATGATTCTATATGGGTCAGAAACTTGGCGAACGCGTCATAAAATGTATACCCAACAGGCCACTTCAAACATTTATCAACAGCTGTACACTTTGCTTGTTCCATATTGAAGATTAAATGGCTGACCTGAAAGAACTAACCACGAGAAAGTCACAGAAAAAATAAACCACAATCCTGTTGCTGAAAAAAATTGCAGACGTTTCAGACATACACTGAAGAGACTTTCGGGTAACATGGAGTACCAGGTCATCGAGTGGAACATGAGAAGGAAGCGACAAGTTGGGTGCAAGTCAAAAGGTAACAAGAAGAAGATCATGTAAGAAGGCGTTGAAAGATTACAAGCAATTGTGGAGTTAGCTAAAAATCACTGCACTGAACTAGGGGGTTTATTTGCTAAGCTTTCATTGCTCCAACACTAGGTAACATCTTTAGCGCATACTTCAATTTGTTGAAGTCAGCTTTTAAATTTCTCCACGAGTATATTAGTCATCTCTCCTGGTGAGTGACCTCGAATGTGATTGGTTGTTTTTGTGTGTTTTCACACCCTTTAAGAACAGATGGTTCCCTTAACCTAAAGATTGATCCCTCCTGTGTGAAATTTCCTTCTTATCTATTGGTAAATTTTGTCTATCTTGATGTGTCTATTGATTGATGATTCACTGGAATACCGGGTGGGCTTTTAAAAATCCTCTAGCATTCTTGGTGTTTCCTCTGTCTAATATTTGAGCATTGGTTGTCACAGTCGAATTGATGTCCGTGGTTGTCTTATATGCAGCGATATAAGGAAGTGGATGTCATCATGTCTCTTGACGGCTAACTTATGTTCGTGGATACGAAGGCGAAGGGGACGTCGTCCGTTTTGGCCAATATAGTGTTTTTCGCAGTTGTTACAATTGATTTTGTAGATGTAAGAAAGCGCAAAGAATATCACCCTACCATATTATAAAAGAACATCTCAGAAATCACTGAAGCACTCTTCAAACCCTCAGGAATTGACGTTGCACACAAATCAACAAAATCACTTCACTCAGCCAGGCAGCCAGTCCTGTGTCAATCAATCAAAAGACTCAACAGCGAAAGAAGATAAAACCAACATCATCTATAAAATAAATTGTAACAACTGTGAAAAACAACTACATTGGCTAAAGTGGGCGTGTCATATACAATTCTTAGTTGATAAAATTTAATCCTACTCCGAAAATATTGCAGAGATATGTGGATGACACTTCCACACACACTGTTAAAAACAGAACATATCTCTCTCTAGCTTCTTGGCACATACAAACCCACTAGTAAAGGGAATAAAATTTACATTTGAATCGGAAAATGAACAAGAAGAATTAGCCATGATGTTAGATTGTAAAATAAAACAAATAGAAGAAGGTAAACTGCACACTAATGTTTATAAAAAACCAACTCATTCTAATAGATATTTAGACTTTAATTCGTCTCATCCGTTAACTGTTAAGGCAGGCTTAATTAATTGCTGTCTAACAAACCGGGCAGTAGCACTAAGTAGTACAAAACAAGAACTAAATGGTGAAATGAAACAGATAGAAGAAGCGTTGATATCAAATAACTATCCCATAAAATTCATTAGGAAGATCAGTAAAGGCCAAAGGAAAAATAAAAATAATTGTGAAGCTATTAATGATAACATAAATAAGAAAGAATATAAGGCATCTACAGTGTGGTTTTACCATAAAAGGAGGGGACATCTGAGACCCTATGTAGGATTCTTAGTAAAGCAGGAATTTGGGTGGCATTCAAACCTACAAACTCACTCAGCTCGGACAAGTTTTGTAGGCCTAAAAGATCCGGTGGACCCAATTAAACAAAATTATATAATTTACAAAATACCTTGCAATCACTTTGAGGTCAACTACATAGGTCAAACTAGTAGATCGTGGGTAATCAGATTGTCGGAACATAAGAATTTAGCCAGGGTAAGAATGACTGACCCCGAGAAGATAAGTAATTTAGAAAAAAGCTCAGTAATCACGGTACATCCATTGACACACAAACACACAATAGGCTAGTGGGAGAGGGTAGGTGGAGAGCGAGAGAGGTTGATTACTGAATCGAGTCCATACCCAACACATGTAACAGAAATGACTTGATGCAACTACCAGAAATATGGAAGATATTATTACCATGAGTCAGTCAAATCAGAGGAGGATAATAAATAATTCATGGATAATCCCCATCCAGGCATTAATGAAAACAAAACACGTAGATCAGCGAAGAGTCTCTTTTCGGCGAATTCATTTTCTTAGCTGTACAATCGCTGGGTGCCCATTCAACAAAAGCGAAATTTAATTAAATCACTTGCTACCCGCATCCGACGCATCTGTAGTCCCGACGTTCTGGAAACAGAATTAGATATTCTGAGAGAAATATTCATCCAAAATGGATACCCAATAAGATTTATCGACAAAAATATGAAACCAATAATTCGGAAAAACGAAACTTTAACTGCGCCTAAAAAGAAAATCTACATGAATTTGGATTTCAAGGGAGATTTAGCAAGCGATATTCTCAAGAGAAGGATCACATCATCTCTGAGAAGAACGTTCTTTGCAGCAACGCTACGAATAGTGTTCTCCAGTCGCCCACTGATCTGCAGAAGCCTCAAGGAGAAGATCCCGCATCTGGCCACTTCTATGTGCATATACCAGTTCACCTGCTGCTGTGGAGCCAGGTACATCGGTCGTTCGACGCGCATCCTGTCCAAGAGAATTCAAGAACATTATCCAGCATGGTTGCGAAAAGGCAATACTGGTGCAATAAGGAGTGCGATAATTGAACACCTGGTCAACACTGATCATTGCATTTCAACGAACGCCTCCTTCAAAGTAATCTACAGAGTCAAGAATAACATATCAAAGGCAATACGGTTTCGTCTCCTTTGCATCGCTGAAGCTCTGGCCATTCACATGGAAAAACCGGAGCTGTGCATACAAAAGAAGATTACTCAACCACTTCTACTCTCATGGTAACAATGTTTTGATTTGTTTTGAGCTTTTATTTTTATTTTGATGACTTAATTTTGTTTCTTTGCCTGTTCCTTAATTGCTTATAATTCTTGTATTCACTTAAATCTCTTACATAGTTTCGTATTATCTACTTTGTTTCTATGTGCATCCTGAGTAAAACTCACTCATCAAACTATTCATATTATTATTGCATAACTTCTTTTAACAACTGTTTGTGACAACTCATCACCTTTGTTACTACCCTAGCACTCAATGGTCTTGACTTGTATTACCAACCTTTACCTGTTTAGTTAAAATAACCTTAAGCAATTATAATTCTTGTATCCACTTAGATCTCTTACATAGTTTCGTATTATCTACTTTGTTTCTATGTGCATCCTGAGTAAAACTCACTATTATTATTACAACTGTTTGTGACAACTCATCATTTTTTTTACTACCCCAGTTTCATTAGCACTTAATTTTCTTGACCTGTATTACCAACCTTCACTTGTTTAGTTAAAAGTAACCTTAACCAATTGTAACTTTGTTTGACAAACTAAATGTACACATACATACAAAATAGCACATGTATATATTTGCGATTGTACAGCTAAGAAAATGAATTCGCCGAAAAGCGACTCTTCGCTGATCTACGTGTTTTGTTTTCGATAATAAATAATCTTAAAATTCTATTTCAATTCAAGCACATCACAACATTGTAACAAGTTACTTATTTATTATGATTATAAAAACACTCGTCTTATTTCCCATCTGATTGTAATTGATCAATAATACTCATATTATTACTTTTGAATGTACATTATCGTATATTGATTTTTATTCCAACATCTAATCGATTCCACGCATGTATATAAATGAATGGAAAAAAGTTGTCAGAGTAGTGCCTTGATATGATTATGAGGAATAGTTTGTGCTCGAAACGCGGTCGCATCAGTTAATATTACTGTATAACAACACTGTGTGATTCATCAAAATAGAATCTTATCCATAATGGAGTAGTTAGTTGCATATAGCTCTTACTAACTAACTAAGTAACCCTGTGGTTGAAGGTTGAGGTACAACCGACTTTCTTCTCCAACCATTAGTTTTATAATTTCACAATTTGTTAAATGAAGAAATTGAAAAACAGAAGTCTAAATTACTATAATTATTATTATTTTTAATATTACTATTATTAATATTATTATTTTCTCTATTGTCAATTATATCTCTCTAGTAAGCCTAGAGTCGTTAGAATTGTAAAGGAAATATACACATGTTTATATTATAAAAGAAGCCTTAATAATTTATCAGTGAGCAGACGCACTCATGCGTACGTAGCAAGTATCAGCTCTTTTACACACAATCCATAGAGCTTACGTAAATAGGCGTTTACAAAGCAAATGAATGACACGACAGCTAGATGGATACATTCAACTCTCAACTGATAGTCTTCCAGAGATATGTGCCCACTTTCTCAAGGCACTAAAAGCAGGAGAATCAGAAGAATATCAGAAGGGTAGAGTAGAACTAAAAGAAGATGAAAGACAGAAAATAAGACTTTTCATTTGCAATAATAATAATAATAATAATAGATAGATAGATAGCGAGGAATTCGGCATTGTCTTAAGCAAGAATTTTCTCCGCCATATGACGTTCTATAAATGTTGGTGGTTTATTTACAATTTTTTCATCCGATTTATACGATTCAACACGTTTTGGATCTAAATCTTTCACTGGTTGTCTACGATCCATTCGTTTTTCACGTAGATCTAAACAGTCGGTTTCAATTTTTAAACTTTCTTCTTTTATAGCGATATCATCATTGATACGGTTGAGTTGTTTGTGTAGTGCATCTAAGGCGTGTCTAAATTTAAAAAAAAATAAGAATAAAGAGAACGGAATGAATGTGTGGGAATCGCTTCAAAGTTAACAATAGTGAGATAACTTCACTGCGTGTATGTGTAAACTGCCTGTTTGGATTAATGATTATAGATCGTTGATGTGTGCACTATAAAAGAGCCGACTGCCCAACAAATATGTAGGAGAAAATGGTGACCAACCGGGCACACCATGCGAAGACCATCGAATGGTATCACGCTCAATGCACGTCATCGGTCACGTGGGCCCCGACAAGTGGGAAACGACAAAATAGTCTTCCCAAGGTGACACGAAGGAAGTCATGCAAGGGAGAAATGATATATTATGGGCACCACCTAAAGAGGACTACAGTGGATAAAACGAAGTGAAGACGTGCTGTTTTTTAAGCCTCATGTTCCACTCAAAACCCAGGGGAACAATAAAAATGGTAATATTAATAAACCTAATTTCAAGCTAGTGAAATGATATTTTCTTGAGCTATTATGCAACCCTGTAAGCTAATAATGTTTCTCCCGATTTCTATCTCCCCCCCGCTGCCTTCGTTTTTTACCTTGGAATGAGCATAAATAGATTAAAACATAAACTAAAAGCATCCAGTGCTTATATTTGTGCATTCATCGATTTTATAAGGTTTTCTCTGTTACCATACCAACACTTGAGGTATATTATTTCACGTTTTTCGTTTTATATGACCAGGCAGTGGTCTGAAAATCCCACATATTTCAAAAATTATTAACTGGGATAAAGCTCTGGAACTGTAGAAATAAACTAATCCAGATTCTGTCGGCTAACAAATATGGAGATGGATCCAACACACTCTGAGGAGAATTTTAAGTGACAAGTGTTAGTTAACAGGAAATTGATTGATTCCAATTTCGATCAGGATCTGACATCACTGTTGGAGAACTACTGGAAAACTAGGGAGTACTGGAGAGGTGTTTTGTTCTTGTTTGGGATTGTTCAACAGGACGTACCTAAATGCTCGCCAATGACATCGGTTGGTGGTCTCATCATATGTCAAGAATTGGTAGAACTTAGAAATGATAAGCCACTTGATTCTGGCCCAATTGGTCAAATGGTCAGCAAGCCCGCCTTGTCACCATAAGGTTCTGGGTTCGATATCTGGCGGGACTATGGATAAGTAGTGTTGAAGAGTCTCAGGCAAGGACGAAACAACTGGCTGTCCAGTACTTTTTGACTTCTAGTGGTTCTCAAACTGATGCGTCAGTTAGTGATGAGTCTTTAAATCAATAAAATAACATCATGACATTATCATAACTATGCACAGGAAACACAAGTGAAACATAAGACTACAATCGGTGGATGGTGACTAGCAATAGAATCCAACCGGGATAATGCGCATTTCGTCCTGTTTGGGACTTGTCAGCTAGTGGATGTACCTGCATTCCTCACTGAGTCATTGGTGGTATCTCCACCGCGGTTCGAACTCAGTGTCCGCTGTTTCAAACGCCAAAGCATTATCCACTAGACTATTTGGGCCACGAGAGCCACCACCTCTTATCTAACGGCTCTTACAAATTATTTAATTCAAAGCCAACGTGTCAACCTGAGACCGACCAATTCAGTCCAATCAATCGACGGGAAAATCTAAAATCAAATTAAATTAAAAACTCTCCGAAGACATTGGCTGGCAGTCACGCTATGTCGTGAATTGGCAGATGTTAGAATTCATTTAGTAGCCATTGGATCGGGTCCCAGTAGCTTAATAGTCTATGAGCCAGCTCCCCTTATAACCCGAAGGTTCCGGGTTCGAACCCCTGACGGTGGGTGCGTGCTGTTAAAGAGTCCCAAACTAGGACGAAACAGCTGGCTGTCCAGTACTCCTTGGTGGGTTTTCCAATAATTCTCTTACCAATGTCAGCTCATAATGCAATCCTGTAGCCAATCAATCAAATCCCTACAAACCAATACTTAAACATAAGAATATATAAGTGTGCACAATTTAACATTATTTATTTGTTTACCTCGCTTGTCTTTGTTTTTCTAGCAGTGCTTCATTAGTCGCTTCAATTTGTTTTACTTCATCTGTAAGACCATATTGTACAGCATCACGGCATAATTCAACACCTGGCCGGTAAGTACGTCTTTCAAGTCGCGTTTGAGCTAATTTTCCAGCTGGTATTAAACCATGTATCGCTTTTTCAAGTTGATCTAAATCATTCTCCATTTCAGCCATTTCATCTTCTGTCTATTAATATTTTATGTGTGAATTGAACATTAAAAGAGAGAGAGAGAGAAAAATAAACGAAAATTAAGAGTAGTAAAATTGTGGTCAGAGCTAGTGTGCAAATATGATTGGCAGAAAATGGCTTAACTTTCTAAGAAACGGTTGGTCATAAGTAGCATAGAATAACCTTTAGCCAGAAAATAACCAATCAGAAGACGTTGCTTCTCCGCTAATAATAATGTACATAAAAATCCATAAATTTCTGTTGATCTTCTCAATAAATGATCTGTTACCTGACCTCTGTATTCTGTCGTTAAAAAATTATACAGTAAAGAAACACAGAAGATCAGTTTTTGTCTTCATGGATAGATAAAGCGTATGGATTAGATCCAGTATGATATTACTGAAGCCACAATTCTTTATTGGTCTCACTCAGTAACGAGATATTAGTGATGACGATGCCACATGTTGAGTGATTTACAAAGGGAACCTCAGAGTAGCCTTTGGAGTATAGTCAGAAGTAGGACAAGGCCACCAGCTATCACCCACGACGATATTCCTGATCACTGTGATTGATCGGATTATGTGGTTCATTGTGCGTGAAGGGCGAGAAGATCTGATTTATGTCCAGCATCACATAAACTCGAAGATTTACAAGAGTAGTGATGAAGGTATCCACCGTTTGAACTACAGGCGCCAGGGATGAGCACGTCAAAAATATTAAGGGTCAGGAAAGCAATACAAACCTTCATTCACCTGAAATCAGTGAGGAAATCTGCCACAAGTAACACATGAAAAATAAAATTTAGATGTTCAACCATAATATGAAATTAATCCTTCTATATGGTTCAGAGTTTTGGCCAAGTCGTCACCGAAAGCATTTTAAACTAGCTTCAAGCTTTTACCGACAATCGCCTTCGTTCGTTAGTCATTGTCAGACGGCCGATCCAAAAAGTTTAGAATCACGGAACGCTGTAAACAAACCAGCCCAGAAGCTACCACTTAAAAAGTATGCTGAAGGATCTGAAGATGAATCCAACACACACATTGAGGAGATCGTTGAGTGGCAGCGCACGCTAGGCCATTGTTTGAGGGTAATCCTAACAGAAAACATAGAGGTGGGCGTGTATCTGAGGATGATATGCAGGAGATCGTGTAAAAGCCTATGGACAGCGATGGGGGTTAGCTAAAGACAAGTTCAGAAAATAGGATGAAATGAAGATTTGTCCGTCTGTTTTCGACATAGACCTTTGCACCGATGTACACCAGCTCATGTCGCCACTCTCCCTCCTTGTAGCACACAAAACAAGAGAAGAAAGTAGAATAAATGCATAACAGAGACAGTAAACAGAGGTGTGAGACAAAGGAATAGTAACATAGAAAAACAATATAGTTTCATTGGAAATCATAAGTCACAAGTAGTGAATGCCTCTGCGCCAGCCACTGAGAACGAGATTTTAAACCATATCACCAATTGTTTCCAGCCTCCGTCTCGAGGACCCCGACGAGATAATCTACGCATTCCTACGTGGCTAGCTTAAACTAACTGTTGTGGATTTCATTGACTGATGAAGCCATGTTTTGGTTTGACCACCACTAACTAGCTCTTTTCCAACCTGAACCTATGTCAGCTAACATTGTCCATTGTCGAGGAAGGTGATGGCTAGGCAGGTATGCGTAACACATGTCCTAACCATCTCAGTCGACGTAATTTCACAGCCACCTCGATTGATTTCCCCTCCTTACCACCTAGCACTCGACCGATGTCTAACCCCAATATTGCTCACCCTATTATACCACCTAACATGGGAGATAGAAGGAAGACACCTAGTATCAAAGACAGCCATCCAGGCCTTTCATGTCTTCCACTTTCACTGCCAAGGTATCACAGCCATAAAGGAGGACGGAGCGAACTGCTGAACAGTACACCTGCCCTTTGGTCGATAGCCAACTGGATATCACGTCTACGCCAGAGACAGCGTAAACTGGCAAATGCGAAACGAGCCCCTTGTATTCGTGCTGAGATTTCGTCAGAGATCAGCCCGTTGGGGCTGATGGTACTTCCCAAATAAGTGAAGCGGTCAACGTGCTCTACCACTTCACTTCCTATTTTTAAACTAGACGTCGATGTAGTCCAGTCCTGTAACATCATCTTGCATTTGACGGGAGCGAATCGCTTATATATATATATATATATATATATATATATATAATCAAAAATAATTTACAAGCCCAAGAAATACTCCTTAATTTACCCCTGACAAGTAGGCAACGGTTCAGTCATAAGCGCCATAAGTGCCCACCTCCTCAACACCTGTTATAGCGTGTCAATCGACTCATCATTATTCAGAGTTATTTACAAAGTAAACAGAAATCTACCAAAGTCAGTGTATTTCTAAATTCCTCCTACTACAGAGGCCCTCAGTATATGCATAAAAAAACTGGAGCTGTGTGTACACACCAAAAATGCTAATCCAACCTCCCTGTACATTTACCATGGATCTAGTTAGGTTTGTTTCTTGAGGTTTCCTTTAATCATCCCCTTCATTTCTCTTCACCGTCAGGGATAGAATATTATTATTATTATTTCAATATGTTTCCATGCTCATCCTATTCACATCTGCATTCATTACCGTTTAAATCTATACTCCCAACTTCAAACTTTCATATCAAGTTGAAAATTATTACCAACCTGAATCTCCACCACCCCCTCCGTTATTATGTGGAATTAAATAAGAATAATTGTATATGTGTAAACTTAAACTATGGGCGGAACTGTTAAGGATATCAAAGCAACGAGGATAGGGAAAGCAAGGCAAGCTTTCATTACTCTCTCAAGTCTGTGTGGAGGAGACCAACAGCCCTATTCAGCATGAAAATTAAAATAAGATCCGGATTTTCAACTCCCCCGATGTGAAGTTCGTTTTTACTCACTGTAAGGATCAGAGACTTGGCGCCACGTCACGAAGGGCACTTTGAACAAAGTACAGAACTTCATTAACAACTATCTTCGCTCAATACTACTCAAAATCAGATGGCTGACCAGAAAAGATCAACACAACACGGATCTCTGGCAATGAACGAACCAACCCAACAGGAACGGATTGTGCAAGAAATATGCAGGAGAAATGGAGGTGGATTGGTGGCTATACTCTGAGAAAACAAACAATCAAGTGAGGGACATCACACTCCAGGCCATCGCTTGAGTGGAACCCACTTGGGAAGCGACAAGTTGGTCGTCAGTGCGAGGGTGGAGTTACATTGAGGAGGTCATGTGAAGAGGAGATGAAAGCATGTGGGCAGATGTGGAGCTAGGTGAAAAAATTGGTGGGGAATTGAACTTGATAGAGACATACGGCTGAAGCCTTCCGTTTCTCGAAGAACTAAAGGCAACAATACTACTAATAAAAGTATAAACTTATATACATAAATATGATTGTACAGCTGCTTTTGAGAACAGAAACACGGATAGGTGGATATCTTCGTTGAACTTCTTGTTCTTTTCGAGCTAACGGTTCGAAAAGAGACTAACAAGATTCTACTAGCTACTTGTGCCTCCAAACAACAATCAGGTTTGCTTCGCCATGTCTATCGCTGCCAAAAGATAAGGAACTATACATGTAACGGAACAATATTGTACCCTCAGTTAGACAGATGTCATCGGGCTTAACTCTTATTTACCCACATAACTTTACGAGTAGAAATTCAAATATAAGCCAATCATCACGGTGTTTTGTCTATAGGATAACAAGATGGTGAATATAAATTGTGCAATCAGTCATAACAATAGTGGTGATGATAATAATAATAATAATAGTAATAACAATAATGGTTTTATCAATAGTAAGGATGAAAAAGTGAGGCAATCTGTGATAACACGAATAGTGAAAAAACAACATGATTAAACAAACAATTGTTCAGATGGAAGTAGTCGATAAAGGCTAGTAAAAGCAAATGAACCGATTAAGTAATGTTAGATTGTAAGGGAAGGAAATGAAACACGTTTATAATGAAGATGTGATAAGATTAAGGGATGATAAGAAAGGGGTTGGAAATATAAACAAGGGGTGGTGTAGAAGTCATCAGTTGGTTATGTCTTAATACGTTGAGGAAGGGATAATGACTGTACGAAGTTTTTTTTTGAATGCATAGTTTAGGTTTAATAATTCGAATGCTTATCGCCTCAGCTATGTGCAGTAGACAAATAAGAGGTATATTGGAAAAATTCGGTGGGACGCCATGAATTACCTTGAAAGCTGTCGTTTTCTCCACTAAGTGACCACTATCACCTAAATGTGACAAACTGGAGCTATGGAGTGTTTTTGTCTGTCCTTTGCCAAACCACGATGGGAAATGTTCAGTAACACGTTGCTTATTACTATTAATATGACTAATTGCACAATTAACATTCAAAATCTTATTATCCTATGGACCATGATTGGTTAATATCTGAATTTTTATTTTTAAAGTTATGTGGTTATGCATATACCAATAGTCGCCGATCTTTACATGAATAAATTCGAAAATAATATCTTTTCAAGCATACTCACTCCTAAAATATGGTTAAGATATGTGGATGATACTTTTGTAGTACTAAAACGAGATCTACACAATTCATTCCTGGAGAAAATAAACTGTCTATCTCCCAAAATCCAGTTCACTTCGGAAGCAGAATCAGACCTCGGTGAACTACCATTTCTAGACTGCCTAGTTAAGAGAAAGGAAAACGGACATTTTAGTATATCCATATTCAGGAAGAAAACCCACTCCAACAAATACTTAGACTTCAAATCATCACACCCCATCAGCACAAAGATTTCAGTTGTTTCAAGTCTTCTTAGACGAGCACACTCTCTGATAACGGATGAGCAAGAAAAAGAAGAAGAAATATCAAACATTACTGAAACTCTCAAGCAAAACAACTACCCAACGAACTTCATCAACAAAATCAACACAGACATAAAGTATGGCCGAAAATGCATTCCGAAAACATGGACTTCAACAGTCGTCATTCCATATAG